AAGCCTTACCCATTTTGAATGGTGGAAGTTGGTGGTCTAGTTTCATTGTGTATGGTGGAAGTTGGTGGTCTAGTTTCATTGTTTTGCATGTATCTGTCCAATTTTCCCAACACCATTTATTGAAGAGACTGTATTGACTCCATTGTATGCTCTTGCCTCCTTTGTCAAATATTAATTGAGCATAATGGCTTGAGTCAATTTCTGGGTTCTCTGTTCTATTCTATTAATCTGTATGCCTGTTCTTGTGCCAGTAGCAGGCTGTTTTCAGTACGGTGGCTTTGTAGTATATAATTTGATATCTGGTATTTGTGATTCCTCCAACTTTGTTCTTCTTTCTCAAGATTGTTGGAGTATTTGTTCTAGTTCTGTGAAATATGCTGTTGGTATTTTAATAAGGACTGCATTGATTCTGTAGATTGCCTTGAGTAGTATGGACATTTTAATGATGTTGATTCTACCACTCCACTCCATGAACACAGTGTATTCTTCCACTTGTTTATATCTTCCTCTATATTTTTTCAAGGTCCTGTAGATTTCCAAGTACAAGTCTTTTACGTCCTTGGTTAAAGTTTATTCCTAAGTATTTTTTGGTTGCAGTGGTAAATGGGTGTCTGTGTGTGTGTATGTTTTATTATTTTTCTGAGAATTCATTATTGGTATATCAAAAAGCCATCGATTTGTGGTTGTTGATTTTGTATCCTGCTATTTTGCCAAATTCGTTTATTAAATCTAGTAGTTTTTTTATGGAATCTTTAGGGTTTTCTATGTACAATATCATGTCATCCGTGAATAATGAGAGTTTTACTTCCTCCTTTTATTTCTTCTTGGATGCCTTATATTTCTTCTTGTCTGATTGCTGTGACTAGGACTTCCAGTACTGTATTGAATAAGAGTGGTGAAAGGGGACATCCCTGTCTTGTTCCTGTTCTTAGGGGAAATGCTTTTAGTTTTTGCCATTGAGTATAATGTTTGCTGTACATTTGTCATATGTGGCCTTTATCATGTTGATATGTGCTCTCTCTCTTCCCCCTTGCTGTAAGGGTATTGGATTTTTGTCGATTGCATTTTCTGTGTCTATTGACCAGTTAACTGGTCCAAACGGAAACCATCCCTATTTCTTCCATTTGCGCTGGAATACAGTGTCCCAACTAACGAGTTTTTTGAGATACGAGCCGTCTCTCGGCCGATTTTTTGCTTTGAGTTGCAAGCTAAAATTCGGGTTATGAGCCAGCTTCAGATACCCCACCGCTAGTTGGCGCAGGAAACGTCACAGTGAATGCCACAACATCAGCCCAGCATCACGAGTGTCTTACTCGTTCACTTTTTGATTTGACATACGAGTAATTTGAGTTATGAGCTCCGTCACGGAACGAATTAAACTCGTAAGTCAAGGCCCCACTGTATTTATGAATTTAAGTTACCATAAATTTCTTTACAAACCCAGAGATGTCATTAACAAGTCTGATTTTAAAATTGGTTGACCAGAGTTGATATGTGAGGTTTGTGGCTATAGATGTGTGGTGTGTAAGGAAGGTCCACTACTTGTATCTATAGATGCTTATGGCGTACAAAGGGTTGATATGATCATGTGATTTTTGTCTTTCAGTTTGTTTATCTGATGTGTCACGTTTATTGATTTGCAAATATTGTACCATCCTTATATCCCTGGAATAAATCCCACTTGGTCATGGGGTATAATATTTTTAATATATTGCTGGATCCGATTTACTAATATTTTATTGAGGATTTTAGCATCTATGTTCATTGGGGATATTGGCCTGTTAGTCTCTTTCTTTGTAGTGTCTTTATCTGGTTTTGGAATTAAGATAATGCTGGCCTCATAAAAAGAGCTTGGGAATGTTCTTTCCTCTTGGATTTTCTGAAATAGTTTGAGTATAGGTGTTACTTCTTTGAATGTTTGGTAAAATTCCCCTGTGAAGCCATCTGGACCCAGGCTTTAATTTGCTGGGAATTTTTTGATTACTGCTTCTATTACATCGGTTGTTATTGGCCCATTCTGGTTTTCGGCTTCTTCCTGATTTGGTTTTGGGAGATTGTATTTTTCCAGTAATTTGTCCATTTCATCCTCATTGTCCACCGTGTTGGCATGTAGTTGTTCAGAGTATTTTCTTACAACCTTTTGTATTTCTGCGGTGTCAGTGGTTACTTCTCCACTTTCATTTCTGATTTTATAGATGAGTCCTCTCTCTTTGTTTCTTGACGAATCTGGCTAATGGTCCATCAATCTTATTTATCCTTTCAAAGAACCAGCTCTTGGTTTCATTAATTTTTTTATATTGGTTTTTTTTTTTGTCTCTGTCACTTATTTTTGCTCTAATCTTTATTATTTTCTTTCTTCTACTTACTCTGGATTTTCTTGTTTTCTTTCTAGTTCTTTAAGTTGTGGGGTTGAATAGTTTATTATTAATTTTTCTTGTTTTCTGAGGTAGTGCCATGAACGTCCTTCTGAGAACTGCTTTTGCTGTGTGCCGGAGATTTTGGGTTGTTGAGTGTTCATTTTCATTTGTTTCCAGGAAGTTTTTTATTTCTTTCTTGATCTCATTGGTAACCCATTCATTAATTGTTTAATAACATGCTGTTTAACCTCCATGTGTTTGAGTGTTTTTACTGTAGTTGATTTCTAATTTCATTCCAGTATGATCTGAGAAGATGCTTGATATAATTTCAATCTTCTTGAACTTTTAGAGTCTTGTTTTGTGTCCTAACACGTGATCTATTTTTGTGAATGACCCATATGCACTTTTGAAGAATGTATATTCTGCAGCTTTGGGGTGAAATGTTCTATAAATGTCAATTAAGTCCACATGACCCAGTGTGTCCTTTAGAGTCATTGTTTCCTTGTTAATTTTTTGTCTGGAAGTTTATCCAGTGAAGTCAGCAGGTTGTTAAAGTCCCCTACAATGACTGTATAGTTGTTGATCTCTCCCTTAAAGTCCTCCTACTGGGGATCGAGCCCGCAACCCAGGCATATGCTCCTGACCGGAATTGAACTCGGGACCTTTCAGTCCACAGGCCAATACTCAGTCCGCTGAGCCAAACCGGCTAGGGCTGCCTGAGAAGCTCTTTATTCACCATCTATTTTAAATGATAGCCTTGCTGGATATAGAAATCTTGGTTCAGAACCTTGCTTTTTCTTTTTAAATATATTTTATTGATTTTTTACAGAGAGGAAGGGCGAGGGATACAGAGTTAGAAACATCAATGAGAGAGAAACATCTATTCAGCTGTCTCCTGCACATCTCCTACTGGGGATGTGCCCGCAACCCAGGTACATGCCCTTGACGGGAATCAAACCTGGGACCCTTCAATCCGCAGGCCGACGCTCTATCCACTGAGCCAAACCAACCAGGAGGTCACACTTTTTTAAAAAGCAGTTCTAGGTTCATAGAAAAGGTGATCAAAGTATACAGAGAGATCTGTGATGAATATTTAACAAGTTACAAGCAATACTTCCCAACAAGAATGTTTTCATTCTGCCAGCTGCATTGACTACTAAAGCCCTGGAGTACTTTAGGGACAATATAGCCAGCTGGACTTCATTAAAAGTTGTATTTCCACAGCTTTCGTGGACTCTCATGTGTGGTGATGGGAATGGGAATGTTTTTATTGATTAAATTCTGCCTTATACAGTGGAGAACTGTATAAGGAAGGGAATGAAAGCTTTCCTCACAAAGTATTGATGGTCTTAAAATGATAGTATTTGGTATGGCTGATGTGGCTCAGTGGTTAAGTGTCAACCTATGAACCAGGAGGTCACAGTTCCATCCCCAGTCAAGGCACACGAGCACATGCCTGGTTTGTGGCCTTGATCCCCAATAGACTGGAGGCGGGGGGGGGGGGGGGGT